TGCAGTGAGCTGAGATCACGCCACTGCACTGTAGCCTGGGCGACAAAGAGAGACTCCATCTCAAAAAAAAGAAAAGAAAAAAAAGGAAAATGGATAAATCGGCCAGGTGCAGTGGCTCACGCCTGTAATCCCAGCACTTTGGGAGGCCGAGGTAGGTGGATCACCTGAAGTCAGTAGTTTGAGACTAGCCAGACCAACATTGGAAAACCTGGACTCTACTAAAAATAGAAAATTAGCTAGGCATGGTGGCACGTGCCTGTAATCCCAGCTACTCAGGAGGCTGAGGCAGAAGAATTGCTTGAACCTGGGAGGTGGTGGTTGCAGTGAGCCGAAATCGTGCCATCGCATTCCAGCCTGGGCAACAAGAGCAAAACTCTGTCTACACGAAAGCAAAAAAAAAACAAAAAAAACCCAGAAAACAAAAGCGATAAATAGCTCTCTTTCTGGGATCATTCGTGCCCAAAGGCAAGACTGAAAGATTCTCCTGAGTTTGGTCCTAGGATTCTAGGGTTCAAAGTTGGATCATACTTGGGTGACTATTAAGAAACAGCAGGGGCCGGGCGCGGTGGCTCAAGCCTGTAATCCCAGCACTTTGGGAGGCCGAGGCGGGTGGATCATGAGGTCAAGAGATCGAGACCATCCTGGTCAACTTGGTGAAACCCCGTCTCTACTAAAAATACAAAAAATTAGCTCGGCATGGTGGCGCGTGCCTGTAATCCCAGCTACTCAGGAGGCTGAGGCAGGAGAATTGCCTGAACCCGGGAGGCGGAGGTTGCGATGAGCCGAGATCGCGCCATTGCACTCCAGCCTGGGTAACAAGAGTGAAACTCTGTCTCAAAAAAAAAAAAAAAGAAACAGCAGGAAGCAGCAGTAACCTATGACTAAAGCTGCCATCATCATCTCCCCTGCCCCCTCTATATCACTTTCCTTTCTAGATCCTTTAACCTCCTCACCTCGGACTGGGCCTTTCAGAATACTGCATACTTTTATTAGATAGACAGAGAGGGGGAAACCAGATGTATTTATGAGAACTTCTGAAAACAAAAGCACTGTTAATTTAAAACATTATTTTTTGTTTAAACTGAATAAGTAATTAAAGCTAAAACACATTTTTGTGTGGAACTTCTTTAGCAGTTTCACAGTGTCAGGCCCACCATATTTAGAACAGGAATGTCTGAGGTAGAAGGATTCTTAGATGCTATACAACTCCACGCTCTCATTTAACAGGTGAGGAAACAAGTCTAGTTAAGCTGAGCTGCACACAGCTGCATCTGTGTTGCTCAGGGAAACAGACTTCCCCAGATTCCTAAACAGCAGGCCCTTCTTGCCCAACAGAGCTTCTACTGGACAAAAAGAAAAGTAAAATAGAGCTTTCTAGACATCATTTTCCTGGACTAAATTCAACTTGGGTTAGTTCTTTTTATTTTTTTTTTCTTTTCTTCTTTAACTTGGGTTAGTTCTGTCCTTACAGGTGTGAGTGACAGCTGTGGAGTGTTAACGGACCCCAACAAAGGAAGGCAGCTGAGACTAAAGTGAGAATAAATTAGGATCTATCTGAGAGAAAATTCCAGAGAGTAGGCACGATTGACCTTCTGAATAGACAGATGGCTGGGAATGACAGTGGAATCTCCTTTTCTGTTTGAACTTATTCATTTGTGCTTCTTAGAAGCAACACAATAAATAGATTGGGTGGCCTTTTAAGGTTCCCTCCTGTCCAAGGATTATTATTGAATTAGGTAATATAATAAAGGTGAATCCAAATTGAAATGCTCCCCAAACCAACGTTAACTGGAATGAAGCTTCACGAGGGAAAGGTCAGCTGAGCTCCTAACTTCTCATTTCCTCTTTGATATGCAGGGATTTGCAATATGGGGAAGGGAGCCAGCTGGTATAGCTTTTTGGGGAAGAAATATGCTACTATTAATACAATGGATCAGTATGAAAATGGACTCACAACCTTCCAGAAGAGTGGAGAAAGAAGCTGATAGAAATAGGGCAGCGAGGTATTCTCATTGAATTAAACTCTGATATATTAGTTTTCTTTTCTTCTTCTTTTCTTTTTGGAGAGAAAGCCTCACTCTGTCACCCAGGCTAGAGTACGGTGGCAATCATGGCAGCAATCATGGTAGCCTTGAACTCCTGGGCTCAAGTGATTCTCCCAGCTCAGCCTCCAGAGTAGCTGAGACTACAAGCATGTACCACCACAGCCAGCTAGTTTTTATTTATTTTGTAGAGATGGGATCCTGCTATGCTGCCCAAGCTGGTCTCGAACTCTTAGGCTCAAGCATCCTCCTGCCTCGGCCTCCCAAAATACTGGGATCACAGGCATAAGCCACCATACCTGGCCTATGTTAGCTTTTAGTAACAGAGAAGGGGAAGAGGAATTGGTTAAAAAAAAAAAAAAAGATTGGGTTGGTTCTCCATGTTCTTTAAGATTTCTTAAAAATATGGTAGCCACGGTAACCACAGATAGCTCCATACTGCAGGACAGGTCACTGCACAACCCCTTCTAACTAGAGGAAAGGGACCCCCAGTGAAAAGCCATTAACAAAGGCAAAAGACATGCAAAACAAACAAAATAATCATGACAGAGAGAAGGCCAGCAGCCAGTCTGGCTCTCTTCTCCCCACCTCCTGCTGCAGGCACCTCCAGACAATGTAAACAGTTAATTTGTTCACCTGCAGGCTCTGGGCAAACAGAGCCCTGGTCACACCTGAGTGGATAACTCGATTACCCCTGTAATGCCAGTGTGGTAATGTACACAAATTCTATTACACGGCAAACCTTGCTTTCGGGCATTTGAAATACCAATCAGGCCAATGTCCACTCCCTTCTTTGCTTCCAATTTATTCTTGGTGTATTGGAGCTGCACCGAAATGGCACTAGGGTGGTAGTCAGTTAAGAATCCAGGAGAAATCACTAGAAAATTGTGATCTCACTCAGCAACGCCTGCAGGCCTCCTACTCTGTTGCAAACAAAGGGTTGGGTTTGAATTGGGTCCGTATTTAAAGGGGCCTGATTCTGTTGGAACCATGGAAAGGTGCTCTGGGTCTGACCTAGATTTTCCTAAGGTGCTTATGGTATATCTCAAACCAAGACAAACCTTTGCCTAAGGTAGTAAAATTCACAGAATAAAGATAAAATATATTCATACATTAAAAAAGAAGAAAGATAAATGATAAATGACAGATTAATAACAAATGGTTTTTCAGTTTTCCCTTATGGAATCCACATATTCTGCAATTAAAGAGCAAGTTGTGCCTATTTCAAAAATGTGTTTGTAGAGATTGATTGCATGGAGAGAGGGCTTTTTAACAAGTGCTAGGATAGAACCTATTATTTTAGCCCACCTGTAGAATATGTATTGTCTTTCTTTACCAAAATGATCCTACTGATCCCTCAGACTGTAGCCCATGAGTTCTGAATCTTCTTCACATCAGTAATTGATGTAAAATAATCCATCTTTTTTTTTTTTAAAGGTTTGTTTATGGTCAACAATACTATTTGTGAGATAGCTGGAACTAGGGGTTAACTTGTGACTGAGGAAGAGAATAAAGTTAGCTGGCCTGTGTGTGATTGAATTCACTCTCTTGGCCTTATCAGCAATTGCTCAAACCAATTGAGTTAACTAGCTCTGACTCTTCCCCCATACGTAAGTATGTTACACTCTTGTTTATCTATAAATTAAATAAGAAGACAGCTTAGCCAGAATGATTTCAATAGTATTATATGCTAATAAATTATGTACATAGTGATGACCTTTAAGCACAAGTCCCTGAAAAAGATTAAATTTTGATTGGCATAGTTTTGGTATAATACCAATTTTATTGCATTTTATTTTAAAATTTTATTTTATTATTTTTATTATTTATTTATTTTGAGGAGTCTTGCTCTGTTGCCAGGCTGAAGTGTAGTGGCGTGATCTCGGCTCACTGCAACCTCTGACTCTCAGGTTCAAGCGATTCTCCTGCCTCAGCCTCCTGAGTAGCTGGGACTACAGGCGCCCACCACCATGCCTGGCTAATTTTTGTATTTTTAGTAGAGATGGAATTTTCACCATGTTGGCCAAGATGGTCTCAATCTCCTGACCTCATGATCTGCCCGACTTGGCCTCCCAAAGTGCTGGGATTACAGGTGTGAACCACTGTGCCCAGCCACCTCTCCCTTTTTTTTTTGAGACGGAGTGGTACCTTCTCGGCTCACTGCAACCTCCACCTCCTAAGTTCAAGCAATTCTCCTGCCTCAGTTTCCTGAGTAGCTGGAACTACAGGCATGCACCACCATACCCAGCTAATTTTTGTATTTTTAGTAGAGGCAGAGTTTTATCATGTTGGCCAGGCTGGTCTCAAACTCCTGACCTCAAGTGATCCACTCACCTTGGCCTCCCAAAGCGTTGGGATTACAGGCGTGAGCCACCGCGCCTGGCCTTGTATTTTTATTTTGAGACAGGATGATCTGTCTCAGAATCTATTTTGCTCTCACCCAGGCTGGAGTGCAGTGGTGTGATCTCGGCTCACTGCAACCTCCGCCTCCCAGGTTCAAGCAATTCTCATGCCTCAGCCTCCCAAGTAGCTGGGACTACAAGAGTGTGCCACCATGCCTGGCTAATTTTTAGTATTTTAGTAGAGACTGGGTGTCCAGAATTTTAGACTAGATTGGGGTTTTGTATTTTAGAAGAGACTGGTTTAAGGAGACCTGGGTTGACCAGGATGGTCTCAAACTCCTGAGTTCAGGAAATTCACCCCCTTGACCTCCCAAAGTGCTAGGATTGCAGGCGTGAGCCACAACGTCTGGCCTGGCCTTATATTTTTAAATGTGAAAATTGGTTCCTGAATCTGGATTTTCATCTAAAACTTTTCCCAACAATTATGAATAAATGGGAATTTATGTGTGAGGGAGCCATGGGGGACTGTATGATATGGAGTAATTCTGTTTATGGTGTCTAAATCAAGAGCAAAAAAATTGACTTTTGATTCAAGCCCCATATTCTCTATCCTTACCTTGCTGAGAATGCGGATGAGGTCACCCCGTTGGAAGGACAGTTCATCTGGCTGGTCACCATGGCAATCCCACAGGCCCTGGTAGTAACTGGCATAGTCTACTGATCAAAGAGAGGAAAAATCAAAGTTAAAAGGACTCTGTTTTTTCCAAGGAGCCCATGTTTTTGCTATAAATGGAAACCAGGGTTCTGATACTGTCCCTAGGAAACCTGAGATTAAGGAGGGTTGAGATGAGATACAGCCAAACACTCAGCATGAGCAAAGGACTATGGGAGAAGGAGATCATTAACTAACATTAAATATTTACAGATCACTCCTAGTAGGATGCAGTTCAACAATATGATAAATATATTTATTTATTAATAAAAGAAAATCAGGCAGGTAATTTTTCACTTGGGTTTGTAAGTAAGCAGTGCAGAGGTTTCCTGCCAGACTTTCCTGATTCAGGCCATCTAAAGTATCTAGTTTTTCTCTTCATTATGCATTTGAAGGATCAGAGTAAATCTGTGACTTCGGCCTATTTACAAGAAAGGCTGAGTCAGCCAGCAGGTTTTTGGATCACAGCTCACTTTTCGGCCTCCTCTGTCCATAGCAACTTTGTCCTGGGCACTTCCCACCCAGGTACTATATGAGGTAATCACCAATAAATACTGAAACAAATAGCCCAGTCTTTAAGTGGAACCAAGGGGGTGTCTCATCCATTACAACTAAATTCTGGGTGGGCTGGCCCTTTTTCAGCATCTCATTTGTAGACCCTGAACACGTCTGCCAAGATTTATCTGCAAGCCCCCAGGGGAAAAGAAACCAAAGTGATCTGCATTAAAAATGAAAGCAACTGAAGACGACAAACCAAGCTTTAGAAGCAGCTGGAGAGATTTACTGAGCTTCTCAGCAAAACTAGATGGCAATGATGCCACAGGACAGCCATCGATTCTTAACAATGAAGAATTTGTATTGATCCTCTACCCGGAAAGGTTAAACACTAGAGTACAAAATGGGAGAGGATCTGGGGATTTGAATGGCAGGAGAGCTAATGCCCACTAGACCAGGGATGCTCCTTGTTCCTTGGGGTGCTCTGTATGAGAGCTGGGAACAAAGCACCTACAAAAAATTAAATTCAACTGATGGGAGTCAGGAAGCCTGGGTTCTAATTAAAATTCTCAGGATTTTTGGGGAATCTATTCTATAGATTTCCACCTTTCCCTTTATTAATTTTGAGCCTCTCAAGAGCAGTGATAGTACTGGTGGCTGAGGATAGGGCAAGTGGGCAGTAGGGTCACAGACATCCTGCATATATTTGTTTTTTTTCCTACTTGTTCCTGACTTACAGGCAATTCAAAGAATAAAGGCACAGGGGGACAAAATCCCTATATGTCTTTGGAAGAGAACTTTGGTAGGAATCTTAAAGGGTACAAAAACAGAGAACAGAGAGAACTATTTAGTTAAGACTCGGGTATTGCAAACAACAGTAAAAATGTCAACCATATAGAAACTCAGGCATGTTTTCTTCACACATAAAATTGTCTGTGTGTGCAGTAGACAACAAAGGGCAGCAAACAAGATAACTACTGTGAAAACATTCTGCCACACAGTTGATCATATGTTTAGAAGAAAAATACTTAGGGAGAAATATGTTAACTATTGAAAAGACAAAGCTTATATATTTGGAAATATAAGTACATGAAATAATAGAGAAATGTAAGTCCCTGAAAAGTGAAAGTAGTTTTCCCAGAGGATATATTATGAATTTTCAATTTTAATGGAGTTGATTAATCACCCCAAGATTTTGACTAAATTCAGGAATGAAAGAATATTGACATCAATATTTTTCATGGATTTATATATAGTAGAGAAAACCATTTTTATGAAATTAGATTCTAAAACCATAACAATATTTCTGAGCTGTAAGGAGACTGACAAACTTGTCTTGGTCTTTTCTGGCCCAGTGGATGGTCACTTTGGAGGGCTGTTCCCTGCAGTGTGCCTGGATGTGGGATAGGTCCTAATACTGAGTACCCTTTTGGTGTATATGTAAAGTGATTTGACATTGGATATATATGGGCCTGGGAGAACATCTAGAAAAAGACCTATTTTTTTTTTTTTTTTTAAAGATGGGGTTTCACCATGATGGCCAGGCTGGTCTTGAACTCCTGACCTCAGGTGATCTACCCACCTCGGCCTCCCAAAGTGCTAGGATTACAGGCGTGAGCCACTGTGCCTGGCAAAAAAGACCTATTCTAAAAGCACAACAGATCACAGGGAAAGCAAGAAGCTAGGAGGAAAACAGAAGCCTTCCAGGAAAAAATTTTAGATAGAAGAGGTCTTTGATGTTAAAGGCCAAAAGAAGACGGAGTTCAGGAATCCAGGAGATGGTTTAGCTCAGCCCAAGAATAGGGATTGTCAGAAGTAGAACAGCTCCAAAAAACAGGCAGAATGAAGGGCTAAAAACTGGGAAAAGGTTGAACTTGCTAGCCAGCTTGAGGTATTCTGTATTAAGGAAATCAGTTAGAGGTAGGCAATTTCTTAGCGGGGCAAGATGACCCCATATTGCAGACTTCCTGTTTAACACACATGTGATTCGCATTTATGTGTATGTGTGCATGCAACTTCATTTCTCAGCATCCAACAGACATGTATATATAGTACCTACTAAATGCCAGGAACTGTGTTAAATACTGGGAATTCCACAATGGCCACACAGGAGCCCTCCTCTCAAGGCTACCTTCCAGTCGGGGAGGCACCATGGAAAAAACAGTTATACAAATGTTTACTTATGATTGTGATATGTCTGTGAAGGAGAGGCTGAGGATGCTGTGTGTAACAGGGAATCTAACATAGTATGAGGGATTAGAAAGGGCCTTTCTGATCAAGTGGGTGTTATTTAAGGACCTTAAAGAGGGGAAGAGATAAGTTGGAGGAGGGCTTCATTCCTGAAGCTTGGCACCAGGAAGAGCTGAAAAGCCCAGAAGGCTGCAGGGCTAGTCCAGCTTCTCCCTAAACCTGCCCAACTCATCCTATAAACAAGCTCAGGTAGAGAAACTGAGAGCCCAAAGGTAAGGCTTGCCTCTATGGGCTGGATTTAAGTTCCTTTGGGCTTATACTATTCTGGCAGCCGTCTGAAATCAGAAATGGTGCAGCCTTCTGACCGTTTAATTAATTCAAAACATCCTCATTCTCATTTTGAGGACATTATTCCATCTAATTATTTTTTTTCCAGTCTGTCCATTTGGAATGAAAAACAAAAGAATAAAGCTTAATGCCAGCATTTCTCAATGTCTCTCCAAAAAACGTAACTCTGCACTAAATAAAGTCTGGTAATTCAAAAGCAAAGCACTAATATATTTAGCATAAAACAGACAGAGAACCTAGAGCAATAATGATACCACTAATAACTAAAACAGTTATAACAATTAACAACAATTACAATGATAGAGAAGCTAATGGGTATGATCACTGCATTTAAATTGCTAGCAGAGCTGAGAAAGACTTTTTCTACAGAAAAAAAAAAAAAAAAAAAAGAGCAGCATCTTATTCTCTTTATCCTATGTAAGGGAAGCTAAGCTCCAAGCAACCAAAATGTCATAAGAAGAATAGAAACAGACCAAGTTAAAAAAAAGTATTGGTTTCTTTTTTCTAGGTATTTATTGCAAAGCATTTGTCATTGCATGCCAGGTTCTTTACAACTAGTGACAGTCGTTTCTCTTGTAACTGAGGCCAAGATGGTGCTACCGATGATAAAGTCAATGTCTGAAAATTAGCCTCTATGATGAGGAAAGTTTTTTTTTTTTTTTTTTTGAGATGGAGTCTCACTCTTGTCACCCAGATTGGAGTGGAGTGGTGCGATCTCAGCTCACTGCAACCTCCGCCTCCCAGGTTCAAGCAATTCTCCTGCCTCAGCCTCTTGAGTAACTGGGATTACAGGTGCCTGCCACCAAGCCTGGCTAATTTTTGTATTTTTAGTAGATACGGGATTTCACCGTGTTGTCCAGGATGGTCTCGAACTCTTGACCTCAGGTGATTCACCTACCTTAGCCTCCCAAAGTGCTGGGATTACAGGCATGAGCCACCATGCCCAGCCTTACAAGGAAAGTTTAAGGTAAAAAGGACCAGGACATCTTTCTGCCTTTCTCCTTTCTTAGGGACAATAAAACCTGACTATTCCTTCCAGAGTTCAGCTTATGTTTGGGAGTCACTGGGTAGCTACAGAATTCAAGCTGTGACCAGGGAAAAGTGGCTAAAGGCAGGCCGGCATGTTATTTACATTTTCTTGATGACTAAAATGATTGTGTCAGTGAGGCCTAGCGCTGAGTATAACCTCTTTTTTTTTTTTTTTTTTTTTGAGATGGAGTTTTGCTCTTGTTACCCAGGCTGGAGTGCGGAGTGCAATGGCACGATCTCGGCTCACCGCAACCTCCGCCTCCTGGGTTCAGGCAATTCTCCTGCCTCAGCCTCCTGAGTAGCTGGGATTACAGGCACGCACCACCATGCCCAGCTAATTTTTTGTATTTTTAGTAGAGACGGGGTTTCACCATGTTGACCAGGATGGTCTCGATCTCTTGACCTTGTGATCCACCTGCCTCGGCCTCCCAAAGTGCTGGGATTACAGGCTTGAGCCACCGCGCCCGGCTGTATAACCTCTTAAGTTATGGAAAAGAGAGACAGAATGCAAAGACAGATAAAGCCAGTCCTATGAAAGCATGGGATGGTGAGACTTGGACAAAAAAATGCCTTAAGTAGTGACCCATTGGAAGTGACTTGAAATGTTCTTTAAGCCAGGTCAGAAAGGTCCAACATATTTAGTCCATTCAAGTAAACTCTGGTAATTTTTCTTTCTTTTTTTTTTTTTGTTCGAGACGGGGTTTCACTTTGTCACCCAGGCTGAAGTCCAATGGCACATCACAGCTCACTGCAGCCTCGAACTCCTGGGCTCAAGCTATTCTCTACCTGCAGCCTCCTGAGTAGCTGGGACTACAGGTTCATGCCACCACATCCAGCTAATCTTTTAATTTTTTGAAAAGATAGGATCTCACTCTGTTGCCCTCAACAGATCAGAAGTTTGCTGATCTCAAACTTCTGGGCTAAAGCAATTCTCCCATGTCAGCCTCCCAAAGTGCTGGAATTTTATATTTGAGTTACTGTGCCCAGCCTTGATAATTTATTCACTGTTTTGGAAGAAGGCTATGAAAAAATTTGCAAAGTATCCACTGACTGTGGTACCAGAGGAGGAAGCGCAATTGGATAATGCCATTTGCTTACTTCATAGGCCTTTAATCTTGAGTTCTGAAATTACTATGGTCCTTGCTGTTATAAGTATGAGTTGGAAGTGGGGGAACACTCACATTCTGATTTTCATCTCTTTTACTCTTTCATTGGGCCAATATTTTAGCTGGTTGATAATCAGCTCATGTTTGGTCTTGGGAAACAGGCTTCAAAAGGTAAGAGCTGCAAACACCTCTGTGGTCTTTCATTTTTTGGCCCTCCTGAAAGCAACCATTTGCTTTTAAGATCACAGTGGTGTGGTCTGTGTCTCATTTTGGCTTAGTTTGCCCACAGTTTCAGAGCTGGGGTTGGGGCAGACTGAGGGAGGTATGGGTGGGAGGGGTCTATTTCAGGTTTTCCTTGGTCAGGGATTTTATGTATCAAAGGATGATTTGTGCCTCCAGGATTGCTTTTTATTTGACATAGTGCAGGCAAACAAATGGCTAGTAATTTTTATAAAAACAAATGCAGAGCAAGTTTTATTTTTGGTTACCTGGAGGTTACCTATTCATGATAAGGAAAGGTGATAAGCTCTTATTACCTAAGACCTTTAGTGTTAGACTATTAGGCTGATGGGCTGGAATTTAGTGAAAATCTGAGGTGTTGAAGAGTCACTCATTAAAATAACCCTGTTACTAGCAGTCATGCTGTAAACTGAGCTCTTTATAGATTGAGCAATCAATACTACAAGGCTGTGATAGATTTTCTAGGTAACAGAAGGAAATAAAAGAAATTACATCTTACAGGGTCATTAACACTCAATAAGTATGAACTGAATCTCTTTCACCCATTCTGATAAGATCTAGTTGGGCCTTAAAAATGTTAGCAATTCCATCAGGGAAAAGCACAGCATTCAAGGAACAGGATTCATGGAGGTTGGAAAAAAGTACTTGGATTTTAAAAGTTACTCTGCTAGCCATAGCATCTTTTAGGAAAAAAGGAAGAAGGAAGGAAAAGATCAACTTGCTTAAAAATTTTTTTCCCCAAAAAGCATGATAACACCTGAGAAAAACTAAGTAGCACAAACTTGTGTAGCTTGTGTATGACATAGGAATTCAGGCTGTCCTAGAGCTCCTTACCTTTTAAATGCCTTCACTGGGGCTGCCTGCCCTTCCCCCAGACCTCTGTCTTTTATTGTTACAAAACTAAGTGATGACATTTGGATTTATATATTTTTCACCATTTCTATAGCGCCTTTGGAGAAAAGGCACTACATAAAATCAATCAATCAGTAAATAAACACAAATAATAAAAATTTCTGCCTCAGATTCTGCAGAGAGAGCGAAAAGTCCTCCTGTTTTTTTAATCACCAAGTCACCAATCATTATAACTGGTGGGAAGTATAAACCATAGAAACATATTCAGAGCTCGCTATACTTTTTTTTTTTTTTTTGAGACGGAGTTTCGCCCTTGTTACCCAGGCTGGAGTGCAATGGCGCGATCTCGGCTCACCGCAACCTCCGCCTCCTGGGCTCAGGCAATTCTCCTGCCTCAGCCTCCTGAGTAGCTGGGATTACAGGCACGTGCCACCATGCCCAGCTAATTTTTTGCACTTTTAGTAGAGATGGGGTTTCACCATGTTGACCAGGATGGTCTCGATCTCTCGACCTCGTGATCCACCCGCCTCGGCCTCCCAAAGTGCTGGGATTACAGGCTTGAGCCACCGCGCCCCGTGCGAGCTCGCTATACTTTAACAACACTTATTTTGGAGGCAAGAAGCATGAGAAACAAAAGGTTTTCTTTTTTTTTTTAAACCTACTTGAATTATAGCTGTGGGGACAGTTAAGAAATAAATCTACTCTCACCTCCCAGATATAACCTTAGAGAAAGAGGTAGAAGGAGGAAATGAGATGAGGGAGGAGTCTGAAACTAGATTCTAGACTTTGCCAAAAGACTGATGCTTCCTGAATGGAGTTTAATATGAAATTGGCCACAGGAAGCTTACAGTTACTCCACCCAAGCTGTCCACATGAAGCATTTCTTTTCTGCACTGGTGATGGAAGTTGGTTGAGAAAAGATATATGTGGAACATGGGTGGGTCAGAACAGATTTTCATTTGGAATTCTGTATAGTAAGTAGACAAAAGAAGGAAATAGGTTTCAGAATGAACTTAATCACATGTGTTCATTATCATGAGGTCCCTGCAGCTACACTCACATCCTTGCATCATACCTGCCTCCACTGCTTGCTTTCTCTCCTGCTTTGGCACATGACTTCTGAAGCTGCATCTTTGTTATCTCTTCTCTTCCCTGGGAGAAGCTGGACCCTTAGGAATTTGGGTCCTAAACCTTTTAAGTATTTACTTTCTGCAGAGAATGAACCTAGAAATGGGAGCTTTGGTGGATGGATAAAGAAGAGAAGAAAAAGCACAAGGAAAGGAGAGAGGAGAATGGGAAAAGACGGCCAGATAACAGAAGGAGCAGGGAGGGAAAGAGGGCAAGAATTCCTAGGCTTAAGAATTTCATAGACTCTCTAAGAAAAATATCAGCCAGTATCTAAATCAGTCATGATTAGGGCTCTGCTGATGGAATGAATGTCCTTGAGGTGGCCCTTGCAATGTGCAGCATTCCTTTACTGACAACCATGGAATAGGTCCTTGGTCCACTTACGGAGGCTTCAGAGGGGCATCTGACCTCAGAAAGGATGCGCTCACTAACAGCCTGAAGCATGGTTAACAGTCTGGGATGAATAAGATGTAATTTTATATTCAACAAACCTGTTATATATTCATTTCCAAATGTGCCTGGAATCAAACCAGGCCATCAGAAGTCAGCATCACCAAGCAATTCTATCCTTCACCCTGTGTTCACTTTTTAGATCTGACACATTTCTATTCCCCTCTGAACTTGCAATCTCCGGGCCTCTCAGAGAGGAGACATTTCCATTCTTTCCATTCTCAATCCTCTGATCTCTTAGAGATGAGGCAATTCTATTTTCACTGTACTGATTTGAGAAAAACTGATAGGAAAAAATAAATATCTTGTTTGGCTTCCTGCCCTCTCTAGGATAAATCTTGGCTGTTCTGGGAACCATTAATTAAAGTGAATGGATGGCTGCTTTTAAAGTTTAGATATTTCCCTACTCAGTCACTTTATTTGGGGCTCTTGGGGTCACACATAGATACACTCTTAATTATTGAGATAGGTAATTTTTGTAGTCTCGGAAAAAGGTGCTTTCTCTAATCAGAAGCCCATAATGTCCTACCCAGTGCCTGTGCATTTAGGAGCTCTTATACCTCCTTTGCGTCGAGTGCCACTCTCATCCTCTTCCAGATTATGCTCTTCATCTGGTGGGATAAATGATCAGTATTAGCAATTAGTGGTTCACAGTCTCATGTTATTTGTTTATTTATTTATTTATTGAGATAGAGTCTCGCTCTGTTGCCCAGACCGGAGTGCAGTGGCACGATTTTGGCTCATTGCAAATTCCACCTCCCGGGTTGAAGGGATTGACCTGCCTCAGCCCCTCAAGAAGCTAGGAGTACAGCCGTCCACCACCACATCCAGCTAATTTTTGTATTTTTAGTAGAGATGGGGTTTTGCCATGTTGGCCAGGCTGGTCTTGAACTCCTGGCTTCAGGTGATCTGCCCTTCTCTGCCTCCCAAAGTACTGGGATTACAGGTGTGAGCTACTATGTCCAGCCAATCAGTCTCACATTCTTTATATGGAGAGGTCCCCTTTTTCTGAGCTCATCATACTCTTTTCTTTAAGGAAAGTTTAACTACTGTGTTCTTTAAAAAAAAAAACAAACCATCTCTCACCTTCAAACTGGCCCTCTCCTTCTCTTCCCTTTCATTTATTCATAAACATTTTTAAGTGCTTATTACATGCAAGACATTGCACTAGGAAGTGGGACAAGCCATAAAAAAGACTGTCAGGGTTCCTGCCCTTGTGGAGCTTCCAGGCCATTGGATTATTTAGGTGTCTATCACCAGTATCCTAATCCTTTTCCTCAAACTCCCTTTCTCCTTCCCTCTGGAATTCTCTTCAAAATTATCACCTCTATGCAAGCATTCTCTCTGGTTTTAAGCACTCCAGAGTTAGGATGTTAGTGTGTGTGTGTGTGTGTGTGTGTGTGTGTGTGTGTGTGAGAGAGAGAGAGAGAGAGAGACTGTGTGTGTGTGTGTGTGTGTGTGTGTGTGTGATTTGAAGTGGGTGTTTACACTCTCTGTGACTGGCTGGGTGCGGTGGCTCACACCTGTAATCCTAGCACTTTGGGAGGTTGAGATGTGTGGATCATGAGGTCAGGAGTTCAAGACCAGCCTGGCCAACATGGTGAAACTTCTTCTCTACTAAAAATACAAAATTAGCTGGGTATGGTGGCAGGTGCCTGTAATTCCAGCTACTTGGGAGGCTGAGGCAGGGGAATTGCTTGAACCTGGGAGGCAGAGGTTGCAGTGCCACTGAACTCCAGCCTGGGTGACAGAGCAAGACTCTGGCTCAGGGAAATAAAACCAAAAAACTTCCTGTGGTTAATTAGTCTTTAATCCTTAATATATCCATCTTTGTTCAGCGGTAGTGGAGGCTGGTCATGTACATAATTTTATGTTCCTAGTACTTGGGGCTTGTAGTTATCTTTTTATTGTTTTTATTCAGCCTGCCCTGTTCATTAGAGTATAAGCTCCTGAGAGTAGTTGGAATGATCTTTTAATTAATTGTTGTAGATTCACAATGGATTCTAAGTCAACGCCACTGTCTAACTCCAGCCAAGTGTTTATACTGTCAAAGTCATAACATGATTGGCCTAAGTTTCTTACCCTCATTAACCTGTTTCATCTCATAACATTACCTGGTAAAGTAGGAATTGGGCCTTTATAAAGTAAATATGTGTCAAAATTATATATAGCTATTTTATACATGGGGCAAAGTGAACAAAAATACACTCACTATTTTTTTCACTACCACCATGTTCTCCCACTCTCTCACTCACACATATATACACACAGGTGCACAGTAGATAGGGTATAATAAGCAATGTTTTGTGGGCTGAATAATCAGCTTCTCCCGGCCACATTTCCTTTCCTTTCTTCTTCTGAGTCTTACAACATTTGCTTGTCTTACTTCTCTATAGTTTTGTCACTAAATGAACCTTTGAGGAGATGGTCTGGGGACATTTTTTTCTTTCTTTATTTTTATTTTTATTTTTTTAAAGGTGGGGTTTCACCATGATGTCCAGGCTGGTCTTGAACTGCTGACCTCAGGTGATCCACCCACCTCGGCTTCCCAAAGTGCTACGATTACAGGCATGAGCCACAGTGCCCGGCCTTTTCTTCCTTTTTTAAAATGTAATGTTTATAGGGCAATATGAGTTCTGGTATGCCAGACTGGAAAAGTAAGCTCCAAGCTCATAGATAAGAAGCAGCAGAATAAAAATATGTTAGAATACTATAGAGCATTAAAGAAGTAATTGATTTCAAGTAAAAAAGAGATTGATATGGTCAGGTGTGGTGGCTCATGCCTGTAATCCTAGCATGCTGATAGGAAGGATCACTTGAGCCCAAGAGTTTGAGAGCAGCGTAGACAACAGAGCAAGACCCTGTCTCTACAAAAAATAAAAATAAAAATTAGCTAGGCATAGTGGTGCACACCTGTACTTCTGGCTACTTGGGAGACTGACGGTGGAGGATTGCCTGAGCCCAGGAGTTTGAGGCTGCAGTAAGCCATGATTGCACCACTGCACTCCAGCCTGGGCCTGGGGAACACAGCAAGACCTTGTCTCTAAAAAACAAAAGACTGATACCCTGGGATATATATATATTTGCCCTATAATATGGTATGGGAAAGGGAGCACTTTGACTCAACAGTTCTTATAGCCATGTATGATCTAGCAGCAGAGAATGTTCTACTTGCCACGTGTAGTGTTCCTTCAACCCTACCACAGAGAATAACAGAACCTAAGCTAATGGAGGAGTAAAATCAAATACAGGAAACAGATCATGCTGAAATAAACCGCATCAAACATTCTTTGCACATTGTCTTCTTGTTACTTGTCCACTTCCTTCCTTTCTCTGCTATGATGCATTTCCTTTTTGACATGAGACTAATTTTAGGATTGAAAACATTAGAGGAAAAATTGGTATATCCTCCATTTTAGAGATACCCAACAATTTGAAGAGAGAGCAGCTCTTTTGTTCGTATCAAACAACTCCATCACAAAGGCAAATAATTTGCTGTGCTTAGGCACTTTTGCAGAGAGGGTTTATTCTACCTCTGCTGTCTGTGTGCAGCTGTCTCTTCCTCCCAATTCTAATCAATGTAAATTGGGTCAGATCTCCACTGTGAATTACAAATTGGATCCGAAGTTGGAGGGTCACTGTGCTGCTACTCCACCTCCTTCCCATTGCCATTAGATGGGAAGCTTCACCAAAGATCTTTTCTAAATAAATCAGACTTTATTGTAAAACTTGGCCACTGACGAGACATAACCTCATTAGCATTGATTTTAAAATAAATTATTGAAAGTGGCTTGCCTGCTCTTTGCATTTGTAAAATAGGAGAATGTAAATGTATTTGCAATGATAAAAATGAAAACTAGAACTTGATTCCTTTATCCTTTTGGGCAACGGCACTTAATCTAGTCATAATACAAAGATGGAATAATAGAAATGTGTTCTATGCAGTTCAATTCCAGACCAGATACTTTCCATTGCACCTTTGGAAGCACCTAGAAAGAAAGAAAAACACTGGCCATAGAGCTTTTATATCATCCACCGCCATTACTAAGCTCTACAATGATGGATGTGAATGGGGAAGCTCCAATCCCCACATCTATTCTATCTAACACTGTCCTTCCCGGGTGGCTGAAAGTAGGCTCAAATCCAGAAGCCTTTCCATTGATGGGCTTGGTGCTATGACTCTGGGGTCTTTGGAAGACTGGGGATGGGGCACTGTCACATAGTGAAGGAAAGCACTGTTCACAGCTGGTTGTAAAAGTTACACCCCAGGCACCTCCCTAGGTTCTGGGGGTACAATACAAATAGGCATACAATTTATCTCAGATCCTTCCATGAAACTAAACAGATGTCTTTCAAACTCCAAGTCAAAGACAACTGATTATATGGCAACAGAAAAAAAGGGGTGGGTTAAATAGCTAAAGTTCTTATTTTTATTAATCTGTAATGTGAGGCTTTAATTTTAAGAGACAATTTTGAACGATATATTTTAGGCTAAGAGCTTGTTGAATTTATTTATAAGAGTATTATTAGGCATTTCAGCATTATATCTACTGAAATACATCTTCATTTAAGAGTGAATTAAAATTTATGTGCTAGCTCAACTTTAAACAGTAATGGATTATAATGGTCCTTGTTCCTAACGGTGCATATGGGACCCCAACCTTACATAGGTTTTAAACAAATTAACCTCTAAAGATTACTGTCCACTTATCACATTAAATGCTCTACTTGATCCCCAAATATCTCATCTCAATTGGGAAAACAGTTGAAGAAGATTCTGTTAACTGTGCGAACATATAAGAGAACCATGGGGCATCACAAATGAGCATCAGTATCTGGAGAGTCAATTTCAATCAACATTCTTGGCACAATGTCAGGGACACTAATGAGAGGCTGAGAGGAAGAGGACACTGAATCTACCTCAGAGGGACAGAGAGGAGCCAGCAGCTTCTCATGACACCTGGCTCTTTTCTGAAGTGCTACTCTGACACTCTTCTGACATCGGCTACACTGATATCAAAAAGAATAACATTAGGAAAAAAAAAATGACTAAATCAGGAAGAGGGGAAATCACTTACTTCCCAAAACAAAGAAAGTGACAAAAGCTTCAAAAAATGCCAACTGTATCAATGTACAACCAGACATCAAGGTGCTCTGGTGACAGATGCATCAGAAATACAGACAGAATCAAGGTGCAAAGGGGACGTGCAGAAAAGTAGAAATAAACTGCTCCCCAACATGCACAGATATATTTTAAATCCACAGATGTTATAGCACCTCATCAGACCACATGGAAAATACAAGCAAGATGTTAATAACACATTTAATTCTCTGTTGTGTATTTGGTAATCTCAACTGTTACCTCAAAATATTTGCATCCTATTTCAGTGATATGGGCTTGATGTATAAGATATTATGATGTATAAGATATTAAACTCAATTTGTGCTAAATGCAACACTTGGAATGCACTGAATTTAATTTCACTAATAATACCTAAGCATCTACTAACTGGGGAGAAAGACCTGAATACAAATCACTGTGGTGAGGGCTAAAGCAAAGCTTAATTCCAGTTGAGTATCTGGGAAGGTGTCACTGGGGAGACAGTTGACCAGAATGTGTATGATTTCACAGGCTGAGATCAGAAGTGTAGTCTAGGTAGAAGAAACAACATGATTCCAGTTTTGGCGCTGCCAAGCAGGACTGTGTGGCTGGGGCTCAGTGGGTATGGGAGTAAGAAAGAGAAAAGGCCAGAAGTTCAGAGGAGGCCTGATAATGGTGTTGCCTCTTCCCTGATGCTCTTTCTTCATAAACTTTGTATTTTTCGTCTCCATTTTTTTAAAAATTTCTTTAGACTTCTTACCTTCACTGTTACCCCTTCCTGTGGGTCTGAACAACTGTACAGCGGGAAAAATAATTCCACAGAATGCTTGTTTCCATTTGACTCAAAATTTTAAAAACTCAGTTATATGCTTTATTATAAAGCAATCTGGTTTCTAGGTCTATAATAACACCCTGGGGCAGTGTGGGCAGCATTGGAATGTGCACAGAAATTCCCAAAGAAGGCTCTTCATCTCTCTTTCCATTTGCGCTTCTGAAATCTCTCTAGAGAACACAGCCGGATTCTGTTGCCACTGCAGCTGCTACAAGGCCCCAGTTATAGCACTTCAATGGTCTCAGGCGCCTTGCTGGATCCCAGCCTTGAGACCCCAGACAAAATTTGATAAAAGCTGTCCTTTTATGGAATCTTGAATCATGGAGCTGGGCCTATGCTGGCCTGTAAAACAACTATGAGAGTGGTGGTGGTGGTGAGAGAGGGCTAAGAAAGGCCTCCTATTTTCTACATATTGCTTTAGCATTTCTTTGTGGTAGTTCCCTGCAGTTTAATCTATTGCAAATGAGATCCTGAAAAAATCAGCCCCCATATGCTCAACATGGATGTTCAGAAATCCCACCAGATACCAACCTTGAAACCATATTTTCCAGCACTAACGTTTTTGTGGTCTGGCTGAAAACCTTGAGTGCTCTGGTGTTCCCTCATGGGCAGAAGAGTGCTAGCCACGTAGCAAATGCTAATTATTCCATGATTAATGTGATGGAGTGAGTTTAATGTGATGACCCATACATTATTTTGATTACGAAAAACATTTTTTATTGACTTGGTATTTGTTACATACATTTTTCTCCCTATTAGGAAGCCCATCTAAATTATACTCTAGAAGGGAGGTCTCAATAACATGGCTTTCCCCACAGAGAGAGTGAGGGCTTGTGTGGGCCCCATCCCAAAAGGGAGGATTAGCAGAACTGTCAATGTTAAATATCCTCCACAAAGCACATTTACTTGTTATAATGAAACAAATGTTAGAGGCCCACGTATTTGACTCTTGATGGGTATGCAGTGTTAGCACATCCAGCGTTACTGTAGGCCATCCTTCCACACAGCACCTGGCCTCGCAGTAAAAATGGGCATGAGCAGAAGGTGCACTCCACATTCCATCTGCTCAGGATTTTCAATTTCACCTGCTCCATACACATAGCTGGAAATATCCAACTGGACTGTCTCGGGTCTGGTTCGAGAGGGCAGCGACCTAACCACCCCCAGTTCTTCAAGGAGATAACACTTCCTGTTTAAACACCATCACATTAATAATAGCCAGCATTTACTGAGTACTCACTGTATGCCATTGTATGTCAGGGCTCTGTGCTAAGAACTTTACATATGTCAGTTCTAGACTCCTTACCACATCCCTCTAAGACAACTACTATTGTTTTCCCCATTTTACAAGTAGTACAATCAGGCAAGGAGAGGGCAAGTAACTTGCTCAAGGTCTCACAGCTAGCAGGTGGTAGAGCAGATCCATCCTGACTTAGAGCCAGTATCTGTACCTATGATACCATGCTGTCTCATGTGCCGCTGGTTGGTAGGTGGTCTTGTGAGAAGGCAGCAGAAAGGAGACAGTGTTAGGCCCCCTCACATTCCCTTCTCAGTTTCTTCAGGACTGATTGTGTGGCACACACAAAATTCAAACAGTAAGTTCAGAAGCAACAGCTGAGTGGAGTGGACAGGAAGCTGAGTGATAGCGACGGGTTGCTGAAATATTCATATAATAATTAAATGCCAATATATCCCACCTCCAACTCTGTCTCTAAGAACTGTGATGGATAGAGGCTCATGGGAAAGAACGTGTTGGCTGGGTACAGTGCTGTCCTTTGGAAACTAAGAGGATACTTAGCTGCTGTTTCCTTAACCTGCAGAAAGAGACTCTGGATTTCCTACTGTGTGGCTTTCCTCACTTCCAATGGAGAGCTGTTGCGGATACAGGGTAAGTGTACCCTCAGACCAGTCTTCATGCCCTTGGGGCCAATCCAACATGCCAGCTGGTGGGAATTTTGGAAAAATGCCCTGATACTCTGGGCAGTGCTGCAATGGCCAAGGGGAAAAGTTTAGGAGGCAAGAGAAAGATGGTCATTAGGAAGCCAATCATACCTTCACTGCCTACTCCTGGGATAAGGTGACAGTCCCAAACTTATCTAATTTTTTGAGGCCTCTTTCTCTTTATTCTCCTTTGCTCTGTGTCTCTGAGCATCAGCCACCTCCTCCCTGGCTCTTTTGAAAACAAAACATGGTACATAAAAAGGCCCTTTCTTCCCACCGCAGAAGGTTCACTGAGGTATTCCCAGAGCACTCTTCCACAGTTGTAACCCAAAGTGGACTGTCACCCGGATATTTCCCCAAGCCTGGGCAGGAGTGAGCAGAATATGAGCTCACTAGGAAGATTCTGGCCAAGTTGGGGAGTGCATCTCCTTTTAGGGAGTGTTGTGAATTAGATCCATTTCTGCACCCTGCTGTTGCAATGGAGCTGACTGTGAAAGGGAAGATTCTCAGAGGAGCTGTGTTTTAATGTAGCAATTTGATTCAATTTTCCACTCTATAAAATTACCCATCACTGCTCGTTGCTTTCTAACAGACACCTTCACTCTTAATTTAACAATCCTATCGAATTCTGCCAGGGAAATTGGAAAAATTTATCACCTGTGAAATTTTATTTTCCTTTGGTTGTATCTGTTTTTGTAAAACTTCATTAACGACGATGACTTGCTGAGGAAATTATCATTTTTTTTAACGTCAGACACAAGAAATGGCCCGACCTCAACCAAGATATCATTTGCATAATAAAACACAACAAAAAGGCTGGAGAGTCGGGACTGGCAGAGGCTGGAAGTGCTAGGAGAAGAAGCAGGGTCTCTTTGGTGGGTGGGTAAAGTCCCCAGCAGGGCGGGGACATGTGGCCAAAGTCCTGCCCCTTGACTCAGGAAGAAATGACGTAGCTTCTTCCCCAGGAAGAGATAAATGCAGCTGGACGCTCTTCTTAGGAAGCCTTGAAATGCAAGTTGCTTACTGTTGATGCTTTTAGCAACTGGCCCTATCTTCAGGGGCTTGAGTGTTAGATTCACCTTAGTTCCTAGGTTCATCTGGGATTGAGGCTAAATTGCTATAAATTTAAGCTTAACTTGAATTTCTCAGCAGAGCACTGAACTCCTGGCAAATTTCCATAGGAACCATCTTTCTGAATGGACTTGAAGATTAGCGTTCCTGTGGTCTAACTACCTCACAATTAAAAGCTCAGGCTTTGGTTCTCCTCCGTCTGACCCCCACTGAGCTCTGCACTGTTCATCAGATGCTGTTATCCCCACTAGAAATGGCTATGCAGAAGCATTGATGACTATATAGTTTTTAAGATGATAGTTTTCATGCCTTTGGAAAAAAGGAAATATAGAGAGTAGACATGTTTTAATGATGAGCAGATAAAACAAGTTAGGCGTCTTTTTAAGAGTAGTGATAATCCTCTCCACAGGTGTGATGCTGATCATGTGGACATGAAGCATGGAAAAAAAGAAAAAAGTTATGATTTGATTCATGGTATATCTGAACTAGGTAATAATGTGTTGTTCTCTATCAAGGTTTATTATCAAGGTTTGCTCTATGAAGGTATTACTAAAAGCGTTTGTCAGCATTTACAACGTTTCAGATTTTTGAAATCCTTCATAATTTTGAAGCAATTTTCCATTATTTTCACAACTACACACCAAAAAGTTGAAACTTGAGAATTTTGATGACTCATCCCAAAACTCACAGTAAACCAATAAAAACCAATGTTCTTGATTGTTTAACCTGGTGGACACATGTAATAAGTTACTTCACATGACATGGATAGAAGACACTCCCTAATCAAATTCTTCTTGCTCCCAGAGCAAGGCAGAGCTTCATTATCGTTTTCCCTACAATCTCGTAAAGCTTCCCACATTATCTCCTTCAGAGGATGAAGGTTAGATTTGGCTTCTTTTGGAATTTTCAAAGTTATTATTCTTTAATCAGGTCATGAATTTCTGAAACTAGCGGAAGATAAAAATTTCTCACCTGGCAAGACTTCATAAATATCTTCTTCTTTCTCCTCTGTAGGTTCCTTTATTTCCACATTACCAGGCAAGATAGTGGGTCTGCACTGGGAACCAGAATTTGGGGAGTCAAAACCATCAATATCATCATATGTCTCTTCTGCTTTTTCTTCTTCATCCTCCTCCTCTTCACATGGAATGGTTAAGGAGCTCAGATCTGCCAGGGCAAAGATGAGAATGAATCAAGAAACAGAGAAAAATAAAATAATAAGATGGGAGGAAAGAGGGAGAAGGAAGAAGAAGGATGAGAGTAAAACATGTCAAAAGAAAATGAAACACTAGGTTAAATGCTGTTATTTCTAATGTGAGCTTTGGTGGCAGGAAATCTACAGAAAAGGCCAGACTAGCACTGCATCAGATTTAAACCGTCAGTATAAATCCTTCCTTGCAATAAAACTTGATCAGGGTGAAGCAGCCCTGAAAAGTATGGGTGTGTAAATGAGAACATGAGGTGATGAGAAGAAAATAGGCCAGAAGAGGGAAAGCCAGTGTGCTGCACACAACTTATCAAGTAGAAAACTGGAAGGGTGAGTGAAGGCTTGCAGTCCTCCAGGGTGCATAGGCCATGGGAACTCTGTAGAATGTTGGAGCTGTCAGAAGCTCATCTCCCCAGTGATTTCACTGCAGAATTTCAGACAAGTTTGTTTGCAGAGAAAAAAATGGACAACAGCAAAAGAGAAAAAGAAACGGGGTATGGAAAAATATAACAGTAATACAAGACCAAATGGAATAGCTGAACAATGCAGTTACCATGTCCTTTTGCAACTGCAGAGTCTAGCTGCCCTTAAAGTGGGTCACTGTATAGAGGGTGTTGAGCCATTACAGCACTGGGGAGTACCAGGGCAGGGCAGGGAGATTGGTTGTTTTTTATTTTAATGGGGAACTGGGAATGTTCATTCTCTGATGTAAACTACAGAGTGCTCTCTGAAACCCTGCTGAGGGCCCTCTGCAGGATGGGCGAGTGCAGTCACCGTACTCTGGGGAAAGGATAGAGAGACGTCCAATGTTCATTTCAAAATGCAATAAAACTGTTTGGCTTGATCAGGCTTTTAATAAAGATTTTGCAACAATTTTCATCTGAATTTTGGTGCCACCACATATGAGGAAAGGATCAAAAACACATTTGTGGCTTAAACCATATGTTTTTATTTTGTTTGTTTTAAAATAAAATGGAATGAGTAATTTCTTCAATGTGGGATTCTGAAAGTACTACAGGGTACAGCTCAATAAAGCTGCTTTGAGTTTTATTGAGGTTTACACACTTAGGGGTATATTACACGCATAAATCCAAGGCACCTAGATGAGAGTGTACCCTGTAGTCTCGCCATCAATGTTCATGTTTGCCTAGTTCCAGTCTATTATACGTGACGCTGTTGGTAGGTGCAATAGTTTGTTTTTGTGATAGCAAAGGCATAACTGAGTAAAACAGACAATTCTTGTAATTAAAACTCTGGTGCTTCACAATAAAATCTCACAGCAGAATTAAAAACAGATTAAAAGGCTTGGCGTTTTTAGGTTGACGTGTTTCTTTCTAGGTCTTGGGCCATGTATAAAGTTGGTGCTTCTGCCTTTCTGCAGAGGTAGGGTCTTTCCATGATGGTAAGTGAGGATTGTCTAATACCAAGTGACACCCTCAAGGTTGGCTTCTTCTACCTGCCAGGCCACTCCCAGATAAGGCTTCCTGGGCCTCTGTTTCTGCTTTGTCTATAGGCTGGCCAGCAGAGGGTACTCTAAGAGCAGTCATTTACCATCTTCAGGCAGGTCTCTTCCCATCCCAAAGCAAGGAATATCTTATTGTGGCTTGGGAAATAGCAATTTGTTTTTAATGTACAATGTCCCTGAAGACCAGCGAGATTAGTTTAGATTTCTACTTCCTCCTAAGACTAAAATAAGAAGTTTTGGAACCTCAATTGCAACTAGATGACTTTAAGTTGGATATTATGAATTTCCTTTCCAGAATATAAGGGGTTAGGAGACACTGAATTGGGCTGAGCTGATTTTTAGAATCTTCTTTTTTAGTGGGTTTGAATATTACAGACTTGCCTGTAGGTAGATGGATGAGCTATACCAGAGGTCTTCTCCAGGTTGATGTCATCTTTACCTTCTCATTTATACATAGTACTATTTGTTGTCATAATATGAGGAATGTGGTAGGAAAGGCAGACGTGAGAAAGGATAGAAAAAATACATACTGAAGCCTGTAGATTACATTTATGCAACAAAACTTCAACTGCAAATCAACTCAAGTGTTATTTCTGTAACAGTGACACTTACCTTTTAACAAGAAACTTATTTGATCCACCCAGTCTCTGGCTTCTGCTGGACTAGTAGCTGTAAACTAGAGAAAAATCAGTGAATTAATTTATCACTGTCACTAAAATTTCCATGAATCTTGACAGGGATGTCCAAGTGGGAGGAACCTCTGAGTTTCAGAGTCAAGTTTAAAGTTCAGGATTCTCTGTCTGCATAACATATAGAAAAAGACCAAATAATTCACTCAAACTGATTTTTCATTCAGCAGTTTTGCATATCCAGAGATGATAGCTCTTTGAGTCCAGGCGTTCATGTCCACGTGCATTCTTTCATTTAATTATCTATTCCTTCATCAGGCGTTTATTTGAGAAAAGTTTACGAGAAAAAAAGCAAACCAACCCACACAGATGAAATGGGAACACTATAAAGGAGGCACACTTGGTATCAACTGGATATTGAGGAGACAGGGAACACCTATTGTTGCCTAGAGTAGGTTAGGTCAGGGTGGCTTGCTGTAATAATACCATTTTGGCTGGATTTTAAAGAAGGGTTTGTGGAAACTGGTGGATAGAGTTTGGACATTTCAGGTAGGGAGACCCATGTGCAAAAGAACAGGAATAAAATGACTTATGGGGAAGGCTGGCAGATCAACTTGACTGGAGAAAAATACAGGTGAAGTTGGAGACCTGAGGGGCAGAGAAGACTTTGTAAAATGGCTCTGAGTACCTGGAGTTCAGAGTTAAAATGTAGGCAACAGGAAGCCACTATCAGCTCTAGCAAAGGGAGTAGGGGATTCTTTCAATAGTTGTGAGTAGGAAGGATTGAAATAGAAAAATCTGGAGACAGAAGACCAACTGGTCCTCTGGGCGAACTTAACTATTGTGGTGGCTGTGGGAATAAATAAGAAGGGGAAGAGCCAAAGGATGTTGTAGAAGAAGAATCCACAGACAATGGTAATGATTTGAATTTAACAGGCCAAAGAAAAGAATTAAATAAACTACATTCTGATTTACAAAATAGGCCAGTCAAGCATCAGCCCTTAGTAATTTTTTTATTTTAAATAAATCAACTTGTAATAATTGCTCCTGAAAAATATTTTAATTATCTGGCCATTGGGGTAAGGTAAAGATATATGCTATACAAAGGAACTGGATTCCTGTATAATACTTTTTAATAGACATTGTCATTCTTCATTTCTTAAAAACACATTTCTGTAAAAACATTTCTAGAAATATTCGTTTAGACTTGTTTCATAAACTTTTCTCTAGATATGTTACTATCAGGATGTAATAATAAAAATAGGAACATATTCAGTGCATACATCTATATTATATAGATTCATAAAGGACTCTATTGACAAGTTTTAGTACAAATGCTAAACGATTTCTGGAAATTGCATAATGAAGACCTAGGTCCTTTAACATTTTGTTAAAGAGTTAAGATACTGCAGAAATAAAAAGAAGAATGCTGAGAAAAGTATGAAGACTAAAAGGGTTACTTAAGTGGTTAATTTACTCAGCATGATTTTTCTCTTTTTCATAAGCTGAAGTTTTTCTAAATTGCTTTAATAAAATCGTGATAAGGTAAAAATTACCCAAAAGCAGGAAACAATACACACACACGCAAACATACATTGGTAAAAATCACTATATTTCCCCAGTCAGAAATTTTTAAATTTTGTTGGTCGTTCAGGATGAAGATGGCAAAAATAAAATAAAACAAATTAATTTTATAATGAGGTAAAGATTCAAACTGAGCATAGCAAGGAATAAGTCTTTCTTGCCCCGACCAGGTCCTCTAGTCCTTCAGTTATTATTGTTACTATTATTACCAATACCTTAGAAATCCTTCAGAGATATGCAAAGCATCCACACACAGGAAGACTACTTTGGATAGCAAGATGAACATGGGAAAATAATTTTTTTTTTACTCTACAGTTAGTTCTTCTGTTTTCTGGGTTTCGTGGAAGAAAGTGAAGAAAATCAGTTGAAAAATAAAGAGAATGGGATTTTAAATCATAAAATCAGACACTATAAGTAAGGAATTGGCTTGTGTGCTGCAATTGACAAGCAGCTCACCTATGAAGTGAAATCGAGAAGGGGAGGAATGAAGGATGGAAGCCAAGCAAAGTCTGTATCTAGAATGAGAGTGGCAACATAGGGAGGGTATGGCATGGCAAATGTGAGGACATGTCAAGAAAGAGGGTCTTAGTTGGTAGGAAATGAGCAGGTAACAAAGAAAGGCTGGAACCCAGCATAGTAACCATGGCTCACATGCAATACAGAAGGAAACTGCAACACCAATGAGGATCACCATCTCCTTGGCGCGTCCTACCTCATAGCTGCGCCTATCCTGGGAGGTCAGTTCAAAGCAGGATTCTTTCTTGGAATCTCTTCGCAGGTGGGGGGCCATCCGTACGCTGTAGCCCTTAATGAGGAAGGTCCCTTTGGGCTGCTTGCCTGAAAGACAGAAAAGCTCCCTGTATCCCTAGAGAGATGCAACTGGCAAGGGAAGGCATCTTCTCTGGTATGTAAAATAAAAGCACAGAAACAGCTGTTACATCCCTGAGGAACCACAATAGCCAAGGAAAGGTAGAGAAGCTTAAGAAGAGGCTACTGTGACAGTGAGGCAGATATCACTACCAAGCTAGGGAAATGCAACGTGAAAGGTTATTTTGCCAAAAGAGTACAACAGAGACAGAGAATTTATTAGAATGTTAAGAGATCTATAATAACGGAAAGAAGGAATTATTACAGCAGGGAGAGTGTGGCTGTAAACGTGAGGCTCTCGAAGGCTATTATAGAGCTGAAACATTATTATCAGCGCCAGCAGAGCTCACATTTGAGGGGAGGGACAGCAGCACAGGGGAGCATTATAAGGTCCCCAAATCGCCTCCCATGACCTATGTAGCATTTGGGCTAAACTGCTCTCCCCCTCCCCTGCTGGTCAGGTGGGAATTTATGCTAGAGGGAGAATAATTCAAACTCAGTATTTTTATCCTTCTTCTAAGAGGTCAACCTGGGAAGTAGCAGAGTAACGTTGAGTATTATTAGATGACGAGGAAGGAGATAAAAGGAAAAGGACCCTAAGTGAAGGGGAGACTATTCTGCTTGTCACTACTTTAAAAAAATGTTAGAAACACAAAAAGAGGAGGGCTCGCAAGAATTTGTGTCTTTATTGTGTGGTTCAGGCAGAACACAGAGAACAGGAACCACAGTGTCTGGGATGCTTTGAGCCCTGTATCATGTGAAATGAATTGCTTAATAAATGCTTTTTGATGATGATAATGATAAGGATGCCAGTGGGATGACAACATTAAAAAAGAAAGAAAAAAGACTCTGTCTTCACCCGGTTGAGCTAAAAGAAATACATAAACACTCTTCTTACTAAAGAAAATGTCATGGGCACAATAAGAAATAACTGGCGAGAAGGGAGCCATGGAACAGTGCTTTTTGACACCAGAATCTTTTTTGTTAAAATATCTCTCCTTGTTCTAACTGGCCACTAAAATGTTTTGTTGTTTCTTTGGTCACCAGATTTTATTTCACCCTGATGGCAAAATGGTCAATAAAAGCCTCTGAGTCTCTTGCTCTTGCTCTCCCTACTCCTCTCTCATCGTGAGTATGGAAGATTCTGAATGAACAGACTTGACACACCTTGTTTTATATCTAGATATGCCAAGCACTTATTTAAATGCAAAAGAAATGATGAACATTTTTATAGTAACAAATGTATATTAGTTTGAAGTTTTAAAATAAGAAAAGAACAGCTGGCTGTGTTGTATGCCTATAATTTAGAGGAGAAATTGTGGTTGCTGGGTTTGAGAACGGGCTGGGGGTTAGAAGGAGACAGGGGACTTGTAGCTCAGTTTACAAACTATGCTGTTATCCTTTCCAAGCAGAGCTTTAGACTTTGTCCCTAGATGGGAAAGGTTCTGAGGAATCTAGGATGGTGAACAGTAGGTGAAGTTCTTTGATAACCACTGCAGGCAGGGAGGCAGGATGAAGCAATTGCTACCAAGTCCAGGGGCAAATCTTTTTTTTTTTCTTCTTCTTTTTTTTTTTTTTTGAGACAGAGTCTTGCCCTGTCGACAGGCACCAGGCTGGAGTACAGTGGCGCGATCTTGGCTCACTGCAATCTCCGCCAAGGGCAAATCTTAAGAATTTCAAGTCACTTAGCAAAGCTGCAGTTCTTTCCACTACCTTAGTGCCACAGGTGCAGGAAGTACAAAGGCAACTGGATGGGTGCCTGATTATTCTCTACATTGGATATCCAGGCACTGGGAGAGGACTAAATTTGAGGAAGGAGTAAGGAAGGAGAAACAGAGAATGATTGCAAGGAAAAAGAAGGGTCTATTCAAACTGTATTGCTGGCCTCTGTATGAAGGTGCACAGCACAAGGAAATTTGCCCCAACAAGAACTGATGTTTTTTAAACTTTGTTTCTCTCTTGCTTCTTAGAATTACTCCTGGGGCAGTCCAACTCTGTATAAGAGTATCCCCTATTTGAAAGTTTGCATTCATCTATAATAATAATTTTTAGCTTGTATTTATTTGTAATTGTCTCCCATTGTGCTTACGTCCTCTATTTCTTTTCATAAACCAATCAATTACATTAAACATGGATAGAAGGTCTTCTAGGGTTGACTTGATTGAGTCAGTGGTGGATCATTAAAAAACTATCTCTGGCCTGAATCAACACTTCACTGTTGCTGTCATCTGGCTGAAGGGCATGTCTTGGGTACAGCAATCGTTTGGGTCTCCATATTCCATGGCTATAGGAATGTCCACTGGACTACTTACTTCCTAGTAGTCATTAGGATAAAGTTTGGAGCATGCCCTTGGGGGTTCTATTTATGGGCCATTGTTTAAGCTCTTTAAGTCTTTCTCAGAATTAATTTTCTTTTTCAATATTTTAGCTATGGCATTGATGCCTATAAAGAGTTTCAAGTTTTTCAAGTTCTTTTTTTTTAAATAAAAACATTCAACTTTTATAATGTTGTGTTGTTAATCATAATAAAAGATAATCTTTTGATATGCTGACCACACTCTTAGTGTTTAAAGGTGAAATAATTTCTAAATTGGCTTCTGTGTTTTTGGTGATGGGCAAGGTATTATGTGCCCATGCCTATTTCTTTCCTAAGCATGTCCCTTTATGGGTATTAGTTAAGGACTGCTATCTTGAGATCTAAGTGCTTGAGAATTTACGAAGTGTTTGCATCCAGGAGTGAGATGCTGCTGTGCAAATGAAGAACACTTACTCTTCTCATTAGCATAGTAGTAGAAGAGACCTCTGCTGACAACACACCATCGCTTCTGCCACTCCGATCCAAAGAAACTATGATCTAAACAGAACAGCAGTAGGGGACATAAATTCAGATAACTACCATCATTGAAAAGTCTGTAAAATCCAACAACATACAGTCCAGTGTGTTACTGTTTTATTTCCCAGGTTAATGGACTGTAAAACCCTCCTTTTTACTCCCACAGGTTATCCCATATTGACTCAGGGTCCAGGGGACTAGATCAGTTAAAAGTCCAAGTTCTAAACAGAGTTGGCTGCTCTGTGCTCCCACAGCTGTCTTTTTATCTAGACTCCTTTATATCTTTTGGGTTCTAATCTCATTCTGCATATTTTCAAATTCTCCATTATATCTTTATGTGTTGCCTTTGACAAAGCAAAATGATTCTCCAGGCCATGGCCATGAAAGAGTCTTTTTTTTTTTTTCTTTTGGTGCTGAGCCAATTTGCCTGTTGAGTGTTAAACCTAAGACGCCAACTCTAGTGGTACCTATTCTAATTGAATGAGTTAGAGGTCAAGAGTTGGGTTTGAAGGCAGGAGTAGTGGCTCATGTCTGTAATCCCAGAACTTTGGGAAGCTGAGATGGGAGGTATGCTTAAAACCAGGAGTTTGAGATCAGCCTAAGCAACAAAGTGAGACCATGTCTCTACAAAAAAATAATAAAATAGCCATGCACAGTTATGTGAACCGTTGTCCCAGCTATTTGAGAGGCTAAAGTGGGAGCATCACTTGAGCCCAGGAGTTGGAGGCTGCAGTGAGCTAGGATGGTGCTGCTGTACTTCAGCCTTGGCAATAGAGGGAGATCCTGTCTTTTTTTTTTTTTTTTTTTCTTTTTAAAGGTGGTGGCTCATGCCTGTAATCCCAGCATTTTGGGAGGCTCAGGTGGGTAGATCACTTGAGGCCAGAAGTTTAAGACTAGCCTGGCCAACATGGTAAAATCCTGTCTCTGCTAAAAATGCAAAAAATTAGCTGGGCATGGTGGCACAAACCTGTAGTCCTAGCTACTCAGGGGGTTGAGACAGCAGAATCACTTTAACCAGGAGCTGGAGGTTGCAGTGCGCCACGATTGCACCCAGAGCAAGACTCTGTCTCAAAAAAAAAAAAAAAAAAAAAAAAAAGGAGTTGGGCTTGTCTGAAATTTGAAAGTAGGCTGCTTCACATATGATATAAAAACTATACAGTGGGAGCACACTGAGAGATGAGGACAAGAATACCATTCATTGGTTTAACAAGTTTTATTAAGCACCTGTCATGTAGAAGGCATTGGAGATAGAGAGGTGAGCAGGTCATAACTATTCCTATCTTGATGAAGCTTACAGACTGCTCAAGGCTGGAACATCTTTCTTTAGCCTACACACAAACACCAGACTCTTCTCCTTTCCTTGCTTTCTTTTGCCTTGTATCTGCCTAGCACAGTACTGGACACAGAGAAGGCACCCAACGTGTTAGCCTTCTTTTTCCTCACTTCCCTTTCCTTCCTGGAATGTCCTGCAATCTGTGGGTCTGACCAATACCTTTGCTTTTCTTCTCCAAGTATCCTTGCTTGATTATGTTATCAAGCTCTTGAGCTCCTCTGATGATGTCTTCCATTCCTAAAAAGACCAATGGCAAAATGCTTTGTTGAAACCTGGCAAAATTTTAATTTAGGCTACTTTAGATAATTCACATTAATAACAGAGTACAAAAGGGCAACTGCTTAAACACAGCACAAGATAAGACAATTTCTACATGATTGGAGAGAAAAGTAAATTTCCTTCCTTTCTTTTTTCGAGACGGAGTTTCGCTCTTGTTACCCAGGCTGGAGTGCAATGGCGCGATCTCGGCTTACCGCAACCTCCGCCTCCTGAGTTCAGGCAATTCTCCTGCCACAGCCTCCTGAGTAGCTGGGATTACAGGCACACGCCACCATGCCTAGCTAATTTTTTGTATTTTTTTAGTAGAGACGGGGTTTCACCATGTTGACCAGGATGGTCTCGATCTCTTGACCTCGTGATCCACCCGCCTCGGCCTCCCAAAGTGCTGGGATTACAGGCTTGAGCCACCATGCCCGGCCGGCTCTTTCTTTTTTCTGAGACAGAGTCTCGCTCTGTCACCCAGGCCGGAGTGCAGTGTGGTGCGATCTCGGCTCACTGCAACTTCGATCTCCCGGGTTCAAGCGATTCTCCTGCCTCAGCCTCCCAGATAGCTGGGACTACAGGCGCCCGCCACCACGGCCAGCTAATTTTTTTTGTATTTTTGGTAGAGAAGAGATTTCACCGTACTGGCCAGGCTGGTCTCAGACTTCTGACCTTAAGTGGTCTGTCCACCTTGGCCTCCCAAAGTGCTGGATTACAGATGTGAGCCACTGCCTGGCCAATTTTCTTTCTTTTCAATTATATCTAATGCTAAAATTGCTTTAAAATATCTAAATATACATTAATTTGTAGTAAGGTGAGGAAGCCTAAATATGTACTGACTGGCAGGAAAAGGACCCCAGAAAATTAAGAATTTTCTTATGTATATAAGCTCCAAATTGGATAAACCTCATTGAGATAATCAAAAGTCAAATGAATAGCTACCAGCACAGACAAGCTTTAATAAGTAATAGACTTCACATCAAATGTAGTTATCTAAGAGGGAACAATAAACACACGTTCAATTTTTTTTCTTTTAACAGACAGCCAGCCACCTCTGTGAACATAAATTTTAAGTTCATACAAAATGAGCTATGCAAGCTGAACTTAGCAATAACTGCCAAATCCTGATTTCTTAAAAGTAATGGGAAAGAGACTGTGCAGTGGCTCTTGCCTGTAATCCAAGCACTTTGGGAGGCTGAGGTGAGTGGATCACAAGGTCAGGAGTTTAAGAGCAGCCTGGCCAACACGGTGAAACCCGTCTCTACTGAAGATACAAAAAATTAGCCGGCTGTGGTGGTATGTGCCTGTAACCCCAGCTACCTGGGAGGCTGAGGCAGGAGAATCGCTTGAACCCAGAGGCAGAGATTGCAGTGAGCCGAGATCATGCCATTGCACTCCAGCCTGGGTGACAGGGCGAGACTCCATCTCAAAAAAAAAAAAAAAAAAAAAAAAAAGTATGGGAAAGAATCTAAGAATTGTAGAAGGCTTCACAAAAAATACCCTGAAACTGACATTAGCCTTTCATTGTATGCTGCTAACATTCTTGGCTTTCAATTAGCCTTGTTAGGTACAAATTTATTAAAAAGTCAAGATCCTAATCCATCTTCCTCCACTGGGGTTTATACTTACTTCACAGAAGGGAGAGACAAAGGATAGAGACAAAGAAGGAATTTACTTCTCAAAAAATAAAATGAAAGAACAACAACAACAACAACAACAACAAAAACCAATCTCTTTTAAGAACACATTCTACATTTCTTAATTAGGCAAAATGAAGGTAAAAATTGGGCTAGCAGTATTTTAACATTTATTCTTTTTAGTCCCAGAACCCAAATCTCTTTTGGATTGACTTAAATAATTTATGAAGCAAATCAAATACAAAACAAAGTAAGGAATAACTACATATGAATCAACTGGGCCACCTATACGATATCTTGAGAGTTATGGTTGAAATAACTTTTTTTCAAACAATTGTTTTTTGAACATTTCCTTCAGTAACATTTATTCAAAGGTGACTGTGAACTGGCATTACTTTGCTCAGTACTCTTCCTACTTTTTGTTTAAAAATAACATCTCGCCGGGCGCGGTGGCTGAAGCCTGTAATCCCAGCACTTTGGGAGGCCGAGGTGGGTGGATCACGAGGTCGAGAGATCGAGACCATCCTGGTCAACATGGTGAAACCCCGTCTCTACTAAAAGTGCAAAAAATTAGCTGGGCATGGTGGCACATGCCTGTAATCCCAGCTACTCAGGAGGCTGAGGCAGGATAATTGCCTGAGCCCAGGAGGCGGAGGTTGCGGTGAGCCGAGATCGCGCCATTGCACTCCAGCCTGGGTAACAAGGGCAAAACTCAGTCTCAAAAAAACAAACAAACAAAAAAAAAAAAACCATCTCGCCAGGCGTGGTGACTCAAGCCTGTAATCCCAGCACTTTGGGAGGCCGAGACGGGTGGATCACAAGGTTAAGAGATCGAGACCATCCTGGTCAACATGGTGAAACCCCGTCTCTACTAAAAATACAAAAAATTAGCTGGGCATGGTGGCACGTGCCTGTAATCCCAGCTACTCGGGAGGCTGAGGCAGGAGAATTGCCTGAACCCAGGAGGCGGCGGTTACGGTGAGCAGAGATCGCGCCACTGCACTCCAGCCTGGGTAACAAGAGTGAAACTCCATCTCAAAAAAAAAAAATCTCATGACAATTTGAAATGCAATCAAAATTACATTTTGCTTTAAAGCTCCTTCAAGCTTAGTTTTAAAAAGGTAGATCAGAAGAACCTCTTTTTTGTTTTTAAGTGTGTCTATGTGCCTGATTCTTTATCCAATGGGCCTATTGTGAACTTCCTTGTTCATGGACTATTTTCATTTGTGTGTTTCACAGTTAGCAAACTATGTGGTTGCCATAAATCCTTTTAATCCATTTTAGGGTGCATGCATAAGATGAAAAGCAGCAAAGGAAAGTTCATTTTTCTAGGATTCTTTCATTTCTCCTATCCCTCTGAAAACACTCCAAGAAAACAGTAGCAGATTCTACTTAGGGAGAGGCATTGAGTGGGGTGAGGACCAGAGAAGGCTCTCTGAAGTGCTGTCAAAAAATTGCTCCTGGGGAGGCCAGGTGTGGTGGCACACACCTGTAATCCCAGCTACTTGGAAGGCTGAGGTAGGGCGATCCCTTGAGCCCAGGAGTTCAAGGCTGCCATGAGATGTGATTGAACCACGGCAGTCCAGCCTGGGTGACAGAGCTAGACTCTGTTCCTTAAAAAAAAAAAATTGCTCCTGGAGGCCTAAAAATTAAATTAAAGACAGGGGGATAAGGAAAACAGGATCCCATAAGCTTGGGAGTTTCCATCTCTTCTTCCTATAGGTTTTTTTCCTTTTGTTTTTGAAGGTCTTGTTAAACTTAGAGACACAGCTCCTTGTTAAAGATGCCAAGAGTCTGAATCATAAAAGACATGTTAAACGTTCTATTAGAATTCAAATCTCCTTTTTTAATGCAAATTTAAATGGCATTTTATGGAACATCTATAATTATGAAAATGGGAAGACATTGCCTCGTGTGCAGGGAGAGTCTGTGAGTATGAATATTACATTAATGTGCCCACACCAGCTCACTGATCCTGCTGGCAGGAGCATAAAAAATGCTTGAGTGAAACTTTTATTTAGATGTTAAGACTCCAGGCCCCAGCGGGGTGACAGAGACAGCCCCTGTGAGTTGCCATCAGAGAGAGAGCTTGAATTGAATTACCCAGGGGGGAGGAAGTAGTGATGAGCACTGCTTCGCTTATTTAATTTCATTTACTTTCAGTACATTATCAGCATGAGACTTTTCTCTCCCCACTAACCGAAACCCAAGAATGCCACCACCAAGAAAACAAAGACATAATGCAGCAGAGATGTAACTCTAAGTTACTAATTCTAGGAGACAAGGGACAGCACCACCACCACCTTCTCTCCCCATGAGTCAGACTCAGTTTGCTAAAATTGGGTACTGAAGGAATTGCTGAATTTTCTCTCTTGGTCATTCACCAAAAAGATTCTGAAAAGTAATATAGCTGGAAACAGTTTTTTTTTTTTTTTTTTTGAGACGGAGTTTCGCTCTTGTTACCCAGGCTGGAGTGCAATGGCGCGATCTCGGCTCACCGCAACCTCCGCCTCCCGGGTTCAGGCGATTCTCCTGCCTCAGCCTCCTGAGTAGCTGGGATTACAGGCACGTGCCACCATGCCCAGCTAATTTTTTGTATTTTTTTTTAGTAGAGACGGGGTTTCACCATGTTGACCAGGATGGTCTCGATCTCTTGACCTCGTGATCCACCCGCCTCGGCCTCCCAAAGTGCTGGGATTACAGGCTTGAGCCACCGTGCCCGGCCAAACAGTTTTTTATATGCTGTGTTTTTGTGTGTAGTCAGTAAGATGTGTCTTCCTTCCTTCTTTCCTTCTCTTTCTTTTCTTTCTTTCTCTCTCCTTCCTTCCTTCTCTCTCTCTCTCTCTCTCTCTCTCTCTCTCTCTCTCTCTCTCTCTTTCTAACAGAGTCTCACTCTTGTCACCCAGGCTAGAGTGCAAGGGCGCAATCTTGGCTCACTGCAACCTCTGCCTCTTGGGTTCCAGCGATTCTCCTACCCTAGCCTCCCAAGTAGCTGGGATTACAGGCGCCCACCACCACACCTGGATAATTTTTGTATTTTCAGTAGAGATGGGGTTTCACCATGTTGATGAGGCTGGTCTCGAACTCCTGACCTCAGGTGATCCACCTGCCTTGGCCTCCTAAAGTACCGGGATACAGACGTGAGCCACAGCACCCGGCCTATGTTGCTTTCTTATTCATTAGAATCTGTATTGAGGAACTCTCTTGCCTGGTTTCTCTTATGGGCAGTGGGAAAAAATGGGATTATAGGCAAAGTTTAGAATGTCTATGGAAAAAAAATTAGGAAATAATTGTCTTATATGTACAAGGTACTATATGGTGAGTCTAATAACAGAGCTG